TATTAGTACATGTTTGCAGTACATAATGATTACAGTCATGGTGGGGAATGGGTAGATGTGCACAATACATCTCAATTTTTCTTTTCTTTCCCTTCTCCTCACTTGTTAGTTTATTGTAATTACTTTTTTTTCCCCCTTTTTTTGGTACCAGGGATCAAACTCAGGACATTGCGCTTGCAAGCCGGGCACAGTGCCACTGAGCTAAATCCCTGGCCCTTCACTTGTCAGTCTATTAAATGTCTGAATTGCAGCAGCATTAGAAACTGCCCTCCCCCCAAAAGAAACCAGCCCAGAGCTTTGGTTTTTTGTCTTTTATACATTTAATTCTACTGTGTCATAACCTACAGTATTATAGGCAAAATCATAATTGTACTTAACATTCACTTTGAAGTTGAAAGAACAGCTTTACATTTATGTATTTTTTATTTTTTTTCTTGTTCTTATGTATAATTTTTATCTTTCATAACAGCCTAGTGAAGTAGAATTCTTTCACTTTGCATTTTATGAATCAAAGGACTGGGGATCAAAGAGTTTAAGCAACTCGAGGGTCAGAGAATAGAATGAGTTGGTCTGCAGCTCTTTATTAATAAATCCTATTTGGGAAAGGAACTGGAGAAGGAATTCAGAAGACAATTTGGCAGACTGACTGGAGGAGAAGATTCAAGCCTGGACTTCAGAGAACATCTGTCCCCTGGGAAACACCCTTGTCTGTGACCACGGGAAAGTCCTTTGCTGAGACCCAATACCAACCAAGATGGTGTCCAGCACAGTGTTTCATAGGGTATGGCTGGGACCCATAGTAAGAAGCAAGGGCTAGGGATTTAGCTCAGCGGTGCTGCCACCTGCCTCACAAGCACAGGGTCCTGAGTTCAATCCCCGGTACCAATAAAAAAACAAACAACAGCAAAAAAAAAAAAAAAAGAAGAAGAAGAAGCAAATATGCTTAGCAATATTTAGGGCAGGAAGAGCATGATGAGGTAAAACAGGTACTGCCTCATGGAGTAAGGCCACAGAATCATGGCCCCCCATACAGAATGGGTTCCTAAAAAATCTTAAAAATGAAGCAGCCCAGTCAGTTGCAATAGTGAGGACCAGTGTTTTTCTGTGGACTTTATTTCAGTCCTATATATGTACACATATATCTGCCTCCATAATTGTACTGTTTGGGAATTGGATCATGGTATGAAATGCATTTCTTAGTGTGGGGGCTGGTGAAAGGACTTGCTAACCACTGACCCGGCCTACTGATCTCCCAGCTACAGGCCCTTCAAAGTGCAGAAATACCCTACAGTCTGGGGAACTCCACCCTATCCCCACACACCCTGTCAAACACAATACAGAGACAAATACTCCTTCAGCCCAGGGATTGTGATTGGAAGGCAAGTCTGGAATGGCTCACCTTGTGGCAGGTACAGTTTTGCCCCTGCACTCAGGGTGATTTCATGTCCAAGAGGCATGTGGATACCATGCCCACACCCGGGGAAACCGAGGTTCCAGTCTCAGTTCTCCATTGAACAACTCTGTGTACTTCCTTGAAATATTCCAGGCCTCCGTTCCTCCATCTGTGGAATAGAAATTATCCTTAGGTCAAGTCTTCTACCAGGCGAAGGATGCTGAGAAGGTTCATGTCCCTGCCTCCTCATTTTCTCAAGGGCAATCCTTGGGATGGGACATGGAGAGGGGAAAGTCTCTTTTTAAAAGGTAAGTCCCATTTTTTGTCTGTTTATACTTTTCCAAAGTTGATAGCGGACACACAAACACTATCTTTGAAAGATAGCTAGAGTGCCTTTCAGCCCTGAGGCAGGGGATTATCTTTAGCACCCACCCAGGTCTGATTATCATCAGGAGCTTCACATCACCTTGGCCCCACCAATTACATAAGCAACGTAATGCTGCATGTGTGACAGTATAGTGATGGCACTTTGACCACGTATCAAATGCTGTCCCTATCTCTGAGTCATGTGTGTGAAGAAGTACTTGAAATTCCTCACGAGTTACAAGCACATAGCCATGGTGATCCTTTATACTGAGCCTGGAAAGCAGGAACTCTCTATTGTCCGAAGGATTTCAATCCTGGAGTCTATGTAGAAAGAGGGCAGCTGGGCAGTGACCACTCACAGGTCCTGGACACACACAGCAAAATCTCCTGGCAGAAGAAAGGGGGCCCACTTCCCGAAAGAATTAAAACCATCATGCCACAGGGATATATGCATACCCATGTTTATAGCAGCAGTTTGTAATAGCTAAATCTTGGAAGCAGCCCAAATGGCCATCAACAGACTAGTGGATAAAGAAGATGTGGTTTTTTTATACAATGGAGTACTACTCTGCCATAAAGAAGGATGAGCTTCAGACATTTACAGCTAAATGGATGGACCTTGAGACCATACTCTTAAGTGAAATAAATCAGACACACATGTTTGAATACCACATTGTTTCTCTGTTGTGAGAAAGCAAAAATGGAAATAAGGACTGAAATGTACAATGGATGTTGGGAAATGGGAAGAAAGTGTTCAGATGGGAAGGGGAACAAGGGAGGGGGGAGGGAGGGAGGAAGAGACAAGAAAAAAGTGAAAATAAAAGGAAAAATGAAAACAAAGCTTTTTTTTTTTGGTACCAGGGATCGAACTCAGGACCTTGTACTTGAGAGGCAAGTGGCGAAACCACTGAGCTAAATCCCTGACCCCAAAGCTTTTGTTTATAGGGAGGGGAGGGGGTCTGAGGGAGGAATGGGATAAAATAAAATAAAATATATTATAAAAAGAAAAGAAGAAAGGGGGCCCAGAGGTTGGTGGCAACCATTGTTCATTTATTTGCTTTTGCGGTGTTGGGGATCACACCCAGGGCCTCGTGCATGCTAGGCAAGCACTCTACCACTGAGCTACATCAGAAGCCTGCCATAGTTTTTTAATATATTAGAACAAAAAGTCACAGAGCCTCAGCAACCTGGCTCTGCTTTGCCTGTGTCATCCGGGAGACCAGCGCACCAAGTTTGGAGACTCCTGTTTTCAGCCCCAGTCGGGGCCCTAGAAGTGTCCCAGGCCCCTGCGCTCTTGACTGTAGGCTGAATCTGGAGCATTTCCAGCTATCCTTGGGTGAATCCAGGAGTGATGTGAACTTGGCAGCTTTGTTTGCAACTTAAGAATAGATATTGTTCCTGTCAAACAAAGAACATCCTTGTCCATTTGCATTTCAAACAAAATAATGCTATTCAGGACTGATTCAGGCAAATTCATCTTCACTGGGAAACTCCACATGTTTGTTCAGTTTCAGAACAAATTCTCAAATTGTGAGTTTGGGTATGAGAGGAATTGTTCAAATCATTTCATTTATATTTTCATATATGTTACAGAGAAATATATGTAATTTGATGGCTGACTTCTGTTCATGGTAATTTTTTTAGTAGAACTTTTCCAAACAAGAAACAATTAAATAGATTTGAATACTACCCAATTCTCTGGATATGGAAAACAATCACAAAAGGGCACAAATTTGTGTGGAAATTTTTTTTTTTGGTACCAGGGATCGAACTCGGGACTTTGCACTTGTGAGGCAGGCGGCAGAACCACTGAGCTAAATCCCTGGCCCAAGGAAAGATTTATTAAAGGCAATGAATTATACCACAAGAACGAGTGACTGTTCCTTCTCTCCCCCCAAAATAACCCCAAGCCCAGTTTATCTGAGTAAACCACGAGAAATTTAATCTTTGCCTTTACTATATGTTCAGTACATTCTGGCTGACATTTTAAACCCTGTTGAAATCTGGTTGGCTTCCAAGCACATGCAATACTAGAATGGAGAAATAGTACAGATAACTATCTCATTTCTCTCTCTCTGAAATGCTGACAATGATTCTTTGTAAAATGTCTCAGAACTCTGAAGGAAGTTATCGAAATGTTTTGCAGGAATCTGTCAAGAAGTGATTATACCATTCGGATATTCATTATACAACATGGATACTCCATCTCACAGGCTTCATGTGTTACATGATTGAAATACATGTGAAAGCCAGTGTGCAGCGTGGTCTCCCAGCTGCGGAACACAGGAGTGACCAGGAGTCAGGGTGAGAGCTCACACTCTGGGGTTTTCAGCTGCATGAGGACAGGATGATGACTGCAGGTGACCCAGGGAGAAGGACAGATGCACCCTGCTCTCCCCGCAACCAGAGGGAGCACAAACCAACCAAATAGGAGAAATCTGTACCTCTTCTGTTTCCCAGAAATCCTTGCACATGTGCTAGCCAGCACAGTCACCTGGATTTCATAGAGGAACCCAAAACCTTCTATTGGCTGTTTCTTTCTTTTCTCTTCTTTTTTTTGGTCCTGGGGATCGAACTCAGGGCCTTGCGGTTGCGAGGCAGGCAGAGGCACCACTGAGCTAAATCCCTGGCCCCTATTGGCTGTTTCTTTTCAGCTAAATTGGTTTTGCCAAATCTTTTATCCAAGCCAAGGGCCACTTTCTAAGGACTCTACCCTCTCTCCCATCCATCCCCAGCCTGCAGAAGGATCCACTGAGCTCGGAAATCCAAGGCAGGAGTGAGAAGACCACACTGTACTGTCAAAAGGTGCAGCGGGTTTAGCTAATTCTCAGAATCAACCATCCAAAGCAGCTTTAGATTTTGTTCTTTGATAAGCTTCAAGTCTTTTTAATGCAGGGAAGAAACACATAGATCATTTAATTCTACTTGCTCTAGGGTTTTGGTTTCATATTTCACCATCCCCATCCACCCTTTTCCCCAGAAGCAGTGGACCATTCTAGTAGCTTCTCTAGATATACACATGTAATGCATACTTACAAAGGACAAATGAACACCAGGGTACTGGCATCTTGCTCATACTCCTCAACAAAGATGATGACATTTTCTTTCGTAACTTATACTTTAATACATCAAAAATTTTTTTTTTGAGACAGGGTCTTGCTATGTAGTTCAGGCTGGTCTTGAACTCACTGTATAGCCTAGGCTGGCCTCAAACTCATGAAGATCCTCCTGCTTTAGCCTCCTGAGTGCTGGGACTACAGGCTTGCACCACCATACCCAGCTTTAGAGACATAACTTTAGGCACCAGGGCTGTGTGAATCTTTCTTTTTCTTGGGGTGGGGGATTCAAATAAATTAAAAGACCGATGATATTCAATATATCTGTGCCATAAAAACACATCGATAATTGAACATCTCTCAGTATGAAGGTTTCCATAGAAATGCAAAGTCCAAAAATGCATAATAGAGACTCCTTTCCTCACCTCTGTTGAGCTTTCCTTTCATTCCTGCGAAGGGAGGTCAAGGTGTCATATCACAGGGCACTGAGAGAGACCCCCGGGAAGGCTGGGTCTCTAAAGGAGCTCTGTGCACCCATAGGGCGGTAGCATTCACAGAGAGCACGCCTCCTCACGGGATCTGACTTCGCCAAAACCCTCCCGGCTGCTGTGTTGGAAAACATCTTGAGGCTGGCTTTACGCTGTGGACCACGACGGAAACCTGTTCTTTGAAGAGCTTGTGTATGACTCAGTTGCCCACGTATTTTCCAGATGGATTATAATGCTTCTCCCTAGACAGGTTTCTATCTGTTTATTCCCAGTCCTCAGATCTTTAAAATGTAAGGTCTGATCGTGTCATCATCCCTTTCCACTTCTCAGCCTAAAGCATTGAATGGCTTTCGCTTGCTCTAAGGAGAAAGCCAAACTCCTTTCCCTGACCTGAAAGGAGCTGCTGGACCTTGTCTTTGCCCACCGCCCTTCCTACTGACTTCCTGTCGCTCTCTCTGCTCCTGCCTGCGTGGGCTCTTCCTGTTCTTCCCGGAACCTGGTGCCCGACCGCTGCATCTCCCCCATCTCTTCGCGCCCATGTCTGTACTGTTCATTCCCGCATTCTCTACTGGAGGCCTCCACATATTTACTGAATTAGTTAATTCATCAACGAACTGTGCTGCATAAAGGGAAATCACTACCATTTACAGTTATTGCTTTTTAAAAAACTTTCAGAGAATTTATTTTCAAAATTTTATTTTTATTAGTGCGTGTTTGCAGTATATAATGATCACACTCATCATGAGGAGTTGGTACACGTACATAACATAGCTTAATTCTTTTTGGTCCCCCCCCCCCTTGGTCCCCTTCCCATTTGCAAAAGATGGGATCTATCTCCCTATTTCTTATTATCCATCTTTTATTTTGCTCTTTAAGGAATTCTGTTTTGAAAGAAAGCTCAGATTTTACTACTACTGAAATTCCTTTCAGTAGTATTTTAAATTATGTAAGTATACATGATATTAGTAAATTATGTGATTACATTTCATAACACCATTCCTAGGTACTATAATTCTAGTTCATTTTCACATACCATTACCTCATGATAAACTGCACGAAAAGCCTTGTTCCATGGAAGGCATGGAGGAATCTTAAGGGCATTCAGTACTCACAAGGGCAAGAGCCCTTCTAACCCATTTGCTATAAAGGGCAAAAGTATGGAGACAGTAGAAAGACCAACAGTTGCCAGAGGTTGGAGGAGATGGTTTTAAGGTAGTGAGAATACTCTGTGGGGTAATGTAACGGTGGGTACACATTATTACAGTATAGATTTGCCCAAACCAATATTACATTCAACAAGGTAAGTGAAAACTCATGCAGACTATGGGTTTTGGCTAGCACTGATGTCCAGTGTAGGCTCAAGAGTCCTAACAATGCACTGCCCTGGTGGAGGACACTGGTAACCGTGGTGATGGAGGTGTACACATGGGGTCAGGGGCCACGGAATACCTCTGTACTGCACCTTTCCCACAGGGGAGGAACGTGGTATTCCTTTTTTTTTTTTTTTTTTGAATGTGGTATTTCTGTGCCTTTCCCTCAACCCTGCTGTGAACCTAAAACTGCTCTAAAATTTTCTTTAATTTATAAATATGCCAGGCATGGTGATCCCTGTCCATAATCTCAGCACTCAGGAGGCTGAGGCAGGAGGATTGTCATGAGTTCAAGGTTAGCCTGGGTTACATAGTGAGTTCAAGGCCAGTTTGAATCTTACAAAACACAAAGCGCACCACAAAAAAAACCCTACTGTATATATAAATATATGTATATTTATGTAAATCTTACATATTTAATATACCATTACTTTGAAGGAACTGGATTCCTGTCTTATATAATTCAGTATTTATTCAAGGGTTTTCATGTGTTAGGCCCTTTTCAGCCCTCAGTAAATGGAATATACAAAGATCTAGACTTTGTAGTAAACAAATTCTCTTATACAGTTGCCCCTCAGTATCCATGGGGAATTGGTACCAAAATTCAAGGACACTAAAGGCTCTTATATAAAATTTATATATAGCCTACCTGGGTCCATCCATACAACATACTCTAAATCATCTCTAGATCACTTATAATACCAATATAAATGCTGTGTAAATGGTTGTTATACTTCTTATTTGGGAATGACTGCAAGAAGAAAGTCTACATGTGGTCAGTTGAGATACTCTGTTTTGTTTCCTTAGCTATTTTGTACAAGGTGTTGTTTAATGTCTGAAGGTGCAAAGCAGAGGGCAGATGCACCACTTGCAGAAGACACAATAGAGCATTGTTCCCACAGGCAACAACTCACTGCTGTGATGCCTCCATGTGCCAACCCTCCAAAGGAATGGTCCAAGAAAGCTGATAGTTAATTGATTAGGTAATTTTTTCATAATGAGAGTTTTCAACGTAAGGAGTTACACAACAAGCACATGCAAATCAATGAACTTTCTCTTATTATTTGCAAGGCAAATTAGTATAATCTGAAAAATATTTTTGCAATAAAATGTCTTCCAAACTGTCCCACATACCCAAAGAACTTCACATAGGTGTTTCTCACGTATCGGTTTCGTTTCAGCTCAAAGAAATCAGAGCCCAGCATAATTGCTTTAAGCAAGGGAAGTCCCAGGGCTTGGAGCTCAGAGTTTCTTTCTTTTTTTTTTTTTTCCTAAATCAGCGTCTTGCCATGCAGTTCAGGCTGGCCTTGAACTTGCAATGATCCTCCTGCCTCAGCCTCCCTAGTGCTGGGATTACAGGTTGTGCCACCATTCCTGGCCACCAGGGCTTCTTTTTTTTTTTTGGTACTGGGGATCGAACTCAGGACCTTGTGCTTGCAGGGCAGGTGGCAGAACCACTGAGCTAAATCCCTGGCCCCTTAGGGCTTCTATTTTTAAGACTCCTTCTTTAACTAGTATCTCCTATAGTAAAAATTTCAATAAACCATTAATCTGAAAGACAGTTCCAGCTTGCAGGCAAACTCTTGGTCACACACAGTATGACCAAAGTATAGTCAAAGTGAGCAAAACACGGAAACTTTTTTCCCCTTTTCAACTCTCATTCTACAAATGTAAAAAACTAGAAATACTAGCTAGACCTGGAGGAAATTAATGCACAGCAAACTGAACCTTTTACCTGCATGATCTCTTTCCGTGTGCCATAAATAGATACAGTTGAAATGTGGCCAGTTAGCTGAGTCACTCAGTTAGATGACTGAATTTTCCTTGAACAAATTGATTGCTTTTGTCTTCCACCGCCAGTGATGTTGCTGGTGCCATTCCTGCCTGCGTCCGTACTTCCTACTTCCGGTTTATGGTTGACGTGGCCAAAACTTTGAGACTTTTGCCAGAGTGCTTAGTGGCAAGTTTAGGGATAGAAGTGGTGGCAGCGGTGAAAGGGCAATGGCATGCAGCATGTTTTGGCTGCTCCCACAATCCAAGGCTTGGTTGAAGTGTGAAAATTTGATATCCAGAGGAACCAGCACTGGCAAAGGGCCATCCTTGTCATTCTAATCTAGTTCAGGCAGATGCTGAAAAGCTGCAGTTTCAGCTAAGTTTTCAAGTTAGTTGGCAGCAGGAATTCTCTTGTCAGGATCAGCTCTGGACTGGAGCTATTCAGGGTCTGTCAATCTGATTTTGAGATTGGCAGAGTTCCCTTCAAGGACAGGCACTTTCAATGACCACAGCAAGGCAGCCCTGCCCAGCACTCACTTCCAGTCCTGCTAACCTAAGCCCACACTTGCCATGGTCTTCATCATGTCTGCACCAGGATCTCTATTTGCTCTAAGTGGTATTTTGTGTTTTTATGTTTATTTGCTTGAACTGAACCAAAGACCTGAAGCATCCAGATCATGCACTGTAGCAGTGAGCTATACTCCCAGCCCTTTAAGTAATATTTTTAGTGGAATAAAATAAAAGTGTATATGATTTTAAAACAAACTACATTGGTACGACATTGGTCCAGTTAGCAATTTTTTAGTATCTAGTTTGCATGTGCTTGCTTATTAACACATAAAACAATAAGACTGGGTCTTAATAATTATCATAAACTTGAAGAAGCTTAAGTGATATTTCTAAGTTATCTACAATAATTGTAATGTGGTATGCAAATACCTGTGATTTCTCTTAGTGAAAAGTTTCAGGTGCATTTAATACTACTGTGGTTTCTCAACTACACTGAAAGAAATGATACATTTTATTTAGATGTGGTTGAAAATGAAAATTTTAATTTTTCATTCATGATCAGCTGGGATTCTACGGATGGACCTGGGGCCAACAGTCCCTGGAAGGTTTGAAAACAAAAAACTAAGGGAGAATTAAAGAACCAGCCACTACCTGAATGAAAATAATTCCAGGCTGGGGATGCCACCTCTTTTCTGACCATTTCACTTGCAAATCTCAGTCCTGGTTACCCAGTGGAGGAATCCTTTTGCTCTCTGTCTCCTGCCTGTCATGTTTTGCAGTATGTTCTGGTGTTTCTTGACCCTGAGTAGATCCCTTCCTAAAACAGACTTGCCATAGAAAGACAGTTAGGCAGATAGTCTACTGCAAAACTTCCCAGAAGTTTTAGGGAAAATACGGACACTTATCTTACCAATTTATGCCCATAAGTCATTCTGCTTCCAGCATCTTTAATTGTGAAAAGTCTACTTCAATTAAGAGCCTTTTGTCTCCAGCCCAATATTCTTTTATGAACCTACAGTAAGAGGTCAACATATGATGTTCTAGGAAAGCCCAGTGTTGGATGATTCAGATTGGATCACACTGAAAGTCCCAAGGATCACAATCTTAGAGTTATCTTTGATACTGGTTTTAAAAATTTTATCCTAGTAGCAGAAATGAAACAGAGTAGTAAAGAGAACTGCTGCTATCAACAGAAATAATAACAGTATTAACTACAATAATAATGTCAATTAAGTCATTATCCTCACACAATGAAAATAATGCCACAAAAGTCAAGAAGAGAGACTTTGAAGACTGTTCAGGCAATGATTCTCATTAAAATAAATTTAAAAATCTCAAATAATGGATGAGGAAAAATAATTTCATTCATATTTTTTATAAAAAAGATACTACTGTGTATTAACTCAAAAGAAATGAGAGTTTTCCTTACCAAGTCATATGAAAGTATGACTATGTAGTTACATTTATAAATGATCACTAAATATATCGGTCAGGTATTCATCACTAAGACCGAATATCTGACATACACAACTTTAAGGAGGAGATGTTTGTTTGGTTCACCAAATTCAGGATTCAGTCTATGGTTGGCTGATTCCAAGGCAAGAATGTCATGGCAGATGTGTGTGGTGAGTAAAACTGCTTAGTTCATGGCAGCTGGGAAGGAGAGAGGGCAACTGTGCCAGAAGGAACAGGCCAGGGACCAGATACAGACCCCACGTCACACCTCCGTAACCCAGCCAGACACACCCAGAAGTGTGCTTTACTAATCCCCTAGGCAGCTCCCAAGCCAATAAAGTTGACCATCCAGCTTTCCCACCCCTTGCCAACTTGACACCCAAACACATACCTAAGCCATCCTTAATCTCCAAATGGAGACAAGGTCATAATTCTGCCTAACATGACCTAATGTCCTACGTACAACCAAAACTACAATTAATCCCTTCCTCCAATGTCTCAACAGTTCTAATATTGTTCAAAAGTCCAAGTCCAATGTCTCTTCTGAGTCTCAAGGCAAACTCTTGGCTATAAACCCCTGAAAATTTTACAAGCAAGATATATATTTCCAATATACAGTGGTACAGGGCAAACATTCCCATTCTAAAAGGGAAGGATAGGAGGGTAGAAAAGAATAGAACCAAAGTAGGGCTTAAACCCAGTAGGGCAAACACTAAGGCCTACAGCTCCATATGTGGTGTCCAGAGCATGTAATGGTGAGATATGAGTCTTAAAGGGCTTGGGCAGCCCCACCCCATGGCCTTGCCATTGCAGCTCATGTAGCTTCTCTCTTGGGCTGGCTCCACTCAAAACCTCTAGCTTTCCTCAGCAGATATTCCACATTCCTGGTATCTTCAACTTCCAGGAGTCTCCACTACACCTCTGGCTTCACTCCCACAGCTTCACATATGGCCCTCTCAGGGGAACATTGCCTGGTCTCCCAGACCTTCCTTTGAAATCTGCGTGGAAGCTTCCACAACACTACAACTCTTATATTCTGTATGCCAGTAAAACCTGCATCATGTGGATGATGCCATGGTCTGCCACCAGCAAAAGCAGTAGTAAAGCCCCTTAGGCCATGGGTGCAGTGGCCTCTGAGTGCCTAGATGACTGAGCATGATGAAATGAACCCCACGGAACCAATTCCCTAAGAGGCTCTTCTTGAGTAGGAGTCCCAGGGGCTCTTTTCTCAAATGAAGGGGTTATACTTTTCCACCTCTGAGCCTGGAATGGGTGGGGTTTTGTTGTTCCCTTGGATGCCATCAAAGCATCTTTCTTGTTGTCCCAACTCAAAATACTTAGGTTTTTTCCTAATGACCCTAATCTCTTCAGCAACAACACCTCCTTTGGCCCCAACATTAGCAGGGTTCTTTTGGGGCCAAATTTTAGGTTTTTCAAATAATTCTGCTCTGCTTTTTTTTTTTTTTTTTT